TTTTCATTTAGAAATTCTCAGTCCACCTGACGGGATTAAACTGTTAGTTGGGTAGAGGACTCCACAACCCTGAAGGGAAAGATAGAAAGACAGAAATGATGAACTAATTAAACCCAAAGTATTTATAATTTTGTGTTAAATTTAGAAATGTTTCATAATCATTCAGGATGATGTGTTTGTATTACATATTTTGAATGTCCCTAATGTTTAAGAGAATTTAACCGACAGGTTAGCCTTGCAATTTCTATTTAAATGTATAATTTATCTTTACATGTGATTTTAATTTAAAAGTTTTAAGAAATTCAAATAAATTTGTAAACACTACTGTAAAATTGAACTTGAACTGCTACATTTGTACATTTGGTTTATTAGGTTTACAGGAATTGTTTTAATAAATATGAAGATGTTACTTGTTAGAGTTGTCAGTCAGTCCCATTAGGCACTGGAAACGTTTGGAAATTTAATTAATCAGGCTTGTAATTAGTGCTCATTGCTTAGGCAAATTAAACTTCTCAAAATTATGAGATAATTGAATATTAATTAAAGAACAAGTGAAAGTGATTATTCTTATTTTGATACTCAAATTATTAAATGTATAATAGAACAACAAAAGGTGTAGTTGAAGGTATAAAAGGAAAAAGTTTTTTCATTTTTTTTTTTTGAGGAAGATCAGCCCTGAGCTAACTACTGCTAGTCCTCCTCTTTTTGCTGAGGAAGACTGGCCCTGAGCTAACATCCGTGCCCGTCTTCCTCTACTTTCTATGTGGGACGCCTACCACAGCATGGCTTACCAAGCGGTGCCATGTCCGCACCCGAGATCCGAACCGGCAAACCCTGGCGGCTGAGATGCGGAACGTGCGAACTTAACTGCTGCACCACCGGGCCAGCCCCAGTTTTTTTCATTTAAAGTCTTAATTGAATATAAATTCAAACCCAAGGATATTGATTTTGTGTACAAAAGCATCCTTCAGACATCAAACTCAAATGTATAGAAGCAAGCCAAATTACTCCACTTCATAAAGAATGATAAGGAGAGATGAGCAGCGTGGAGTGTGGGGGAACAAGAGGGTGAAGGAAGAGGAAGAGGAAAGAAGTTTCCCCAGAGAGCTGGAGAGAGAGAGATGTGTAACAATGACTTAGAGGAAGTCTTACTCTCTTTCATGACCTCCTCAAAAGAATTTCAGTACAGACCAACATTACTTTTTTCTTTTTAAATCAATTTTATTGAGGTATAATTTAGATACATAAAATGCACCCGCTCTAAGTGTACAGATTGATGACTTTTGACAAGTGTGTACTCCCGCATAAGCCACCATCATAATCAAGATGTAACACATTTCCATCAGCTCAAAAACTTCTTATGTGTCTCTTCAACCCCAGACAAACGCTAATCTGATTTCTACCATTACAGGTTAGTTTTACCTATTCTAGAACTTCATATAAATGGAATCATACAAATGTATGCTTCTGCGTCCGGCTTCTTTCATTTGGCATAATTTTTCTGAAATTCATCCATGTTGTTGCACGTATCAATTGTTCCTTCTTTTTTTAATTGCTGAGTATTATTCCATTGCATAGATTTGTTTATTCATCCATTCACCTGTTGATGGACACGTGGGTTGTTTCCAGTTGGGCCTATTGTAAATAAAGCTGTTATGAACGTCAGAGTGAAGGTCTTTTTTTTTTTTTTAAAGATTGGCACGTCAGCTAACAACTGTTGCCAATCTTTTTATTTTCTTTCTTTCTGCTTTTTCTCCCCAAATCCCCCCAGTACATAGTTGTATATTTTAGTTGTGGGACCTTCTAGTTGTGGCATGTGGGATGACGCCTCAACGTGGCCTGATGAGCGGTGCCATGTCCGCGCCCAGGATCCAAACCAGCAAAACCCTGGGCCACCGTAGCAGAGCGCACGAACTTAACCACTCAGCCACGGGGCCGGCGCTGCAAGTCTTTTTTATAGACATATCTTTTTATTTCTCTTGAGTAAATACCTAGAAGTGGAATCGTTGGGTCATTTGTTAAGTATGTGTTTACCTTTATAAGAAACTGCCAAACTTCTTCAAAGCAGTTGTATCAGTGTACACTACTCCCCCTTACATTTTCTCTTAGTACTTTCTCAAGTCAGATTTGTTTCTTTGGAGTAAGACAGTATCTTCACTGGCCTCAAGGTGGCCCCAATACATCCTGGTAAGTGCAAAAAGATATTCCAGTAAATGCTATTTTGGCTGGAGGAAAGGAAGCCCAATCCACAGGTGACTGTCTTCTGCCTCTAGTAACTTTCCACAACTTTCCAGGGCCTGGCCAAGGGCAGCCCTTGGACCCAGGAGTGTTACTTTTAGGGAGGGAGTTACGTTGATCTGCCCATCAACTGATCTTGAGTTAACCTGATCCCACTTCAGCCCCTGGGGTTATGGAGAGAAAAGGGCCCCAGGCTGCAGGCAGTGATCGTGGTTGCTTGTACCTCTCGGCCCTCACAAACGTAGGCCATTCAGAGCTGCATGGAGGGAGAAAGGGACTTTGAAAGCTGCCTCTTGATAACTAACTCAAACCCTTACCCTTCCTCTCACCCCCAATCCCAAAGCAGTTTCTCTCATCTACGAGTTCACTCTGGGCTTTCAAGGAAAAGAAGGGAGGGACTCCCAAGCCCTCTGGTCACTCAGATGAGGCTGCCTGCAGAGCCCAGCCACTTTCAGGCCCAGTTATTGTCCTACTGAGCAAAGATCTCTATAGACAACCTAGAAATGGGTGAGATGGGGAAAAGAGACCAGGTGGGGACCTCCAGCTGGCAGTAATGACTCTTCTGCCCAAGGACGAGAAAGAGGGGATGGGGCTAGGCAGAGGGCATGAAAGAAGACCCAGAGATGCAGTGGTTTGGAAGGACCTGGGGACAGGGTGACTAGACTGGGGAGGCTTCTTGAGGAAGAAGTTGTGCCGAAGTGGCTGGTGGGAGCAGACTTGGGGAGAACTCTCTGACTCTCCATCTCAGCATGAAAGACCAAAGCCAGATGCAGATCTGTGAGAGCGAGGGCTGAATTCTCCTGTCTTGGGTGCAAGGCCACGTAGAATAAAGACTACATTTCCCAGCCTTCCTTGTGGAGGGTCATCCTGGCCAATGATATGTGAACAGGTCAGTCACGTGGCAGCTTCCTGGGATTTTTATAAGAGACGGATGTCCTTGCACCTATTTCTCCCACCTTCATCCCTTTCTCCCTCTGCTGCCTGGAGTCCGAATGACTCTGTGGATCACGGAGGAGGAGGGCCACACCCAGGAAGGAACCTGCCCCGCTGAGGACTCTGGAGCACACAGCTGCCCCACCAGCGCTGAACGGCCCACTGCTCTCCACCTTTTATGTGAGAAAGAAACAAGCTTCTCTTGTTTAAGCCACTGTTTAATATTTGTGCTGTTACAGCCAAACCTAATCTTAAATAATCACGGAGCTGAAGGAGGAGGTAAGGCCTGACAGGGAAGCAGGTTCCAGTGGTGACAAAACCGCAGAGGTTGAAGGCCAGGGGAGAGGGGAGAGGAGCTGGGTGGCCAGTGAACCAAAGGTCATCTAGTTTGGAGGGTTTTCAGGCCTGGGGAAGAGTTTGAAGGGTCAGGTACTGTGTGGCAAGGCGGGGGACTAGGAGAAGCAACAAGGAGAACCAACCAGGCCCACCGCCGCCCACCCCCGACCCTCCCACTCAGGCCGAGCTGGGGGCAGGAGATTTCACCATTAACCCATTCCGGAGTTTTCATTTCTACCCAGGACTAGACATTCTGATTATTGATCTCAGTCCAGATTGGCCACTTAAGTGATCACAAGCCCTAGAGGAGATCAGAGGGAGCAACTGAGGCATGGGACCCACCAGAGATCTCATCACCTTGGGGCAGAGAGGATCTGCACCCTCCACCCTCCCCCCTTCACTCATTCATCCACCCCACAAATGTTTACTGAGCATCTACTACAAGCCAGGAACTGCTCTGGCGGAGACAGGACAGTGAACACAGCACCAAAAGTGCCTGCCCTCGGGGAGCTTACAGGCTAATGGAGGAGACACACGCTACACAGGAAAATAAGATAAATATAAACGATGTTACATAGTGATCAGTGCAAAGGAAATAAGGCTGAGAAAGGGGATAGGAAGTAGGGGTTAAATTCCACTTAGGGCTGCTAGGGAAGGCCTCACGAAAAGGCCACATTTATGTCAAGACTTTTAGAAATGTTAGAGGGCACAGGAGAGAGAAAATACAGCCGTGTGTTGACGATGTCGTTGGTATTAACCTACGGGTACAAACATGAATGTGATGCCTGTGTGCATCTGTGCAACAGGCGCGAGAAGGGGCTCCACAGCCCGACGGGCCAGGCTGGGGTGTCTGGCACAGAGACTGAATGTGACCAGGGCAGGACAGGCCTCTGAGCCCAGCCCAGATCTCAAGTACGGCCAAGAATGGGACCACACACCACCAGCTCTGGGCAGCATCAGCGACACCTGCTCCCAGGCTGGACGGCGCTATCTGAGGAGGATGGGCCCCAGAGATTGTAGAGTCTCTTGTGTCTGGCCCTGTGATATCAGGGGCTGGGGACAGTGCAGGGTGACCATGCGTTCTCCGCCTCCCGCCCCATCCTCGCCCACTGCCTCTGCCATTTTGCACTCCCCACAGGCAGATGGGTCTGATGGGGTTTTTCCAGGCTGGGTCGGTGGCCTGACCCAGCAGGGGCCATGGGGACAGGGCAGGGACCATTCCTGGACACTCAGGGGAGATGAGGTGTGTCCCTGAGCCCCCACGGCTGGGGGCAGGGGTTGGGGGTCTGGGAACAGCTTTGGCAGGAGCAGGCGGAAGTCAGGGATGGGGAGGTCGGCAGTGCCCCCCACCCCACATCCTGTTTTGGAATGTGGGGCCCCAACACATGCGTTCCTTTGGACTTCGTCCAGGCAGTATCTCCCCACCCAGGCCCACTCCCAAGGGAACTGTGCACCAGGGTGGGGAGGGTTCCCCGGCACGCCCAAGCATTAACCTAGGGTTTTTCCAGGCTGGGCTGAGCCCCTGAGCCAGCACGGGTTAAGGACACATTTTCCACCTCTTCCTGAAATCAGGCCAGGGGATCTCCATCAGCACGTGGAAAACCATACAGGCCCCCATGGCTGAAGGGGAGATGAAACATAACAAAGGAGGCGAGTCCTGGCGAGGCACAGCCCACCTCCAGTGCCTGTGCCCACCAGCCCCACATTAAACCCTGGGGACTGTCAGGCCCTGGGATACCACCTGGGAAGCCCAGCCAGGCTGAAGTGGGGACAGTTCCATGACGGGTTTAAGAGCATGGGCTCTGGACCAGTCAAGCCAGGGATGAGGCCGGGACCTGCCATTTACTCGCTGCCTGACTGTGGGAAAGTGGCTTAGATCCTCTGAGTCTCAGCTTCCCTCCTGCCAGGGTTGTCAAGAGAATTAAATGAGCTAATTCATGCAATGGGCTCAGCACAGGGCTGGGCCCAGCACAGGTGGCCAGGTGAGGGAGGGGGATGGTGTGCGGGCTGGGCAGACTCCCAGAAAGGCAGAGGGGACAAATAAAACATCTCAACCTGCAAGTGTCCCCTCCCTGGCCGCTCAGGTCACTGTCCATCCTCCTAACTCTCCTCCTCTAAGGGACAACTTCTTCTGCCACCTAGAGCAGTAGGAAGTGACTCAATTCAGAGCCTTATGGGGGAAGAGAAGCCTTTCTCTCTATTATAAAAACCATGCTCATTATAGTAAATCTGGACATTACGGAAAAGCAGGAAGGAAGCAAAAGCTGTTATTTAGCTACCGAAGCCAACCCCTCTGGTTAGCTGCATGTTTTTCCATGTGGGATTTTTCCCGGGCACGGGTTTGCTTGTTCTCTGTAACATGGTTGGGACCTTAGCATGAGAACGGAGAGCTGAAGGAGATACAGGGTCAGCTGGCCCAGCCTCCTCAGTTGACAAGCCAGGAGACTCTGGCCCAGAGAAGCTCAGGGACTTGTCCAAGGTCAGGGGTGGCAGAGCCGGAACCAGATCCATTAGGTGTTTGCTGCCTCTCAAAATACCAGTGCCCCCAACACCAGCACCAATCCTCCCTCCAGCCCTGAAGACAGCCTTCAAAGGGGACAGTCAACAGCGGATTGAGGCCTTTCAGTTTGGAGGGACAGGCTTCCATGAGTCCCCTGGTTCCCTCAATAAGGGGTGCAGCTCTGGTTGACCCCTCTCCCCCATTTCTAGATGGAGACACACCATGGGATGGGAGTGAGGTGGGGGTAGGGGTGGGTGAGAGACGGAAAGGGAGGGCTAGCAGAGCCCAGCAAGGGGTGTGCCCTGTGCCTGTTCCCAAGGGTGGAGTCAGACAACAGGGTCACGCTGTCCCTTTAAGAGAAGGGGGAGAGCTAGCCCCTCTCAGCCATCCTGTCCTGTCATCCATCCCAGCCAAATGCGAAAGGGAAAATGAAAGAGGGACCAGGAGGAACAGGTCCTAGGCATCTCTCAAGGTCCCTCGCTCAGCTCTAACACCCCAGCTCCAGCCACAGGGTGAGTGGGGCTGGTGAGGATCTGGGGGCCTCAGGGCCCCAAGGGACCCGAGTGTGTGTGTGTGTGTGTGTGTGTGTGTGTTGGGGGAGGCTCTGAGGAAATGTGGGAGGAAGCAGAGAAGCACCAGCAGGAGATGGGAGAGGGCTAGGCCCACATTCCCAACACCCTGGGGTCCGACTGTTTGGGGACACCTAGGACAAAAGATCCTGATAGAGTTATGGAAATTGGGGCTCCCTTTGTGTCAGGCCCCCAATTCTGTGAGGAATCCACTGAAGTAAAAAGGGCAGTAGAAATGGTGGGCGGAGAAAGAAGGAGGTGGGATCCCTCTGGGTCTGGTGGCTCCCACCTCTCCCAGGGGTACCAAATTGGGTCTGGAGTCCCGGGTTCGAGCCACCGTTATTGCCCATGGAGCATCCCTGAGTACATAAGGGCACCACTGGCTTTCTGCTTCTACAAATGCGGTCAGGGGCTGGCCCTGCTGATCTCCACGTTCCCTGTCTACAAATCCGGACTCTGGAGGAGCACAGGACCCAACCACGCAGGCCCATGGGTGTCTGGCTAGAGCACCAGGGTGGAGCTCCTCCCCAGCACCCATTGGCCCCAAGGAGAAGGGCGCCCATAGTTGAGAATCACCGAACCCCTCCCGCACCCGCCCCATTTGCTAACTCATTTGTTCCCACAAAATCCCGCCTAAACCCAGGTCTAGCTGACCCCCTGACTCACCCCGAAGTTAGAGGAGGTCTAATGGACTACACCCCGACGGGGATGGAGGGGTGGGGGTCCCTGATCTGCCCCGGCCTCTGACTCCAGCCCTGCGTCCACAGCGCCATGGGGGAGTGGGCGTTCCTCGGCTCGCTGCTGGACGCCTTGCAGTCGCAGGTGCCGCTCGTGGGCCGCCTGTGGCTGGTGGTCATGCTGATCTTCCGCATCCTGGTGCTGGCCACGGTGGGCGAGGCCGTGTTCGCGGACGAGCAGGAGGAGTTCGTGTGCAACACGCGGCAGCCAGGCTGTCGCCAGATCTGCTATGACCGCGCTTTCCCCGTCTCCCACTACCGCTTCTGGGTCTTCCACATCCTGCTGCTCTCGGCGCCCCCGGTGCTGTTCCTCATCTACTCCATGCACGAGACCAGCAAGGAGCCGGGTGGGGCCGACGCCACGCCCCGGGGGCGCCCCCAGGGCCCCTGCGCGCCCTCCGCCCTGCGCGCCCGCCGCGCGCGCTGCTGCTACCTGCTGAGCGTGGTGCTGCGCCTGGCGGCCGAGCTGGCCTTCCTGGGCGGCCAGACGCTGTTCTACGGCTTCCGCGTGGCCCCGCGCTTCGCGTGCGCCGGCCCGCCGTGCCCGCACATCGTGGACTGCTTCGTGAGCCGGCCCACCGAGAAGACCGTCTTCGTGGTCTTCTACTTCGCCGTGGGGCTGCTCTCGGCGCTGCTCAGCGTGGCCGAGCTGGGCCACCTGCTCTGGAAGGGCCGTCCGTGCGCCAGGGGCTCTCACCAGGCGGCCGAGCGCGACAACCGCTGCAACCGCGCGCACGAGGTGGCGCAGAAGCTGCTCCCGCCTCCGCTGCCGCCGCCGCCGCCGCCGCCGCCGAGCCTGCCCTCCCGGCGCCCGGGCCCCGACCCCTACGCCCCACCCGCCTATGCGCACCGGGCCGGCGACAGCGAGGGCGGCAGCGGCCGCAGCAAGGCGTCCCTGGCCATTGTCCGCCAGGACCTGGCCATCTAGAAGCGGCCACCTCCTCGGGCGGAGGGTGAGATCAGAGGCCGGCAGACCCCGCCGCCCCCGGCCCTCACCGCAGAAGCAAGAGGTGGCTTCCGCAAGAACTGCTCGAGGGACCCTGCTGAGCAGGAGACACGCAGCGGGGATGGCCTGCAGGGTGGCATCCCAGCCGGGCCGGGTCAGAGGATGAACTAAGGCAGGTCCTTGATGCCCTGACCCAGGTGGAAAGGAAGGAGGCCAGGGGGCTGGGAGAAAGTGGGTGAAAGGAGGGCAGACAGAGTGCAAGGTGGAGGAGGTTCAGATGGTGACCTGGTTGTTTTACTGGGGACGAAAACAACCGTGAGACTAGTCTCTGTGTGGGCTCTCCGTGCATGTGTGCACATGTACACAAATGCGGTGTGAGCTGTGTGTGCGCGTGCACATGTAAAACTTGTGTGAGCCGTTTGTGTGCATGTGTGTACGAACATACACATTCCATGTGAGCTCTCTGTGTGTGCACACCTGTACATCCTGTGTGGGTTTTGTGTGTGCATATGTATACCCCGCGTGCGTCCCGAGTATGTACATGCATGTGTACGCCCTGTGCGAGCTGTGTGTGTGTGTGTGATCTCTGATATACTCTGTGTGGGTGGCCAGGATCCAGTGCCAGCAGCAGCCACAGTGCCTCCCTCCCTACCTGGGGGGTGCATCACAGGAAGGTCTCCCCTCCTGATGGAGCCCACACAGGAAGAGGGGGGCAGGCCACAGTCTGGTAGGGCTTGTGGGCACCTCCACACTCTGGACCTTGTGGCCTGAGCTGGGAGGCGAGCTGCCCTTTCACCGAGGTAGAGTGGGGAGCGGGGGTGGGGCCAGAGGGCAGGACTCTTCTCTTCTAGCTTCACCCTCCTCACCCTGCTACTGGTCCCCACAGTTTATAAACATGCTTGAGTCCCTTCCATCCTCAGAAGAAACGTCCCCCCAAACGTGCTCCTGGCCCCGCATATCCTGCAGCCACCACCCATTTCCCTCCTGGGGGAATACAGAGAGCTGTCTACATGGCTGCCTCTTGTCCCCCTCCTGTCTCTCCTCTATCCCCATCTGTCTTCCTCCCTCACTGCCCAATGGGGCCACTCTCCATAAGATCTTCCAGAGCCTAAGCGACAACTCCAGGGGCCACCATCTGACTGCTCCCCTGGGGCTCCGTCCCCCCTGCTGAGCAGACTGCCAGTGACTCACTCGGCCTGATTTTTCCTGCGTCCCTGGCCCTTCCCTCTCTGTTCCTGCGCTCCTCTTCCGCGGCTCTTCTGCCTGTACTCCACAGGGCGGCCGAGGGGTCTTTCTCAATAGCCCCCCTGCTTAGGCCATTGGGGCTGCTCTGCCCTTTGGGTAAGCCCAGCACCTGAACGCGGCTCCTGACGTCCATCTGGCCCTGCCTCTCAGGCCTCCAGCCCCGTCAGATTGACTTCCCCACGGGTTTCTCTGCTCCAGATGACACCGAATTTTCTGTTTCTCCCAAGCCTGGTGCCTGATTTTGCTTCCCAGCGTTTGAACATCCTGTTCCTTCGCCGGGAGCAGCCTCCTCTTTGCAGCCCCACCCTCCCCTGGCTGACACCCACCTACCTGCCTTTTGGTCTCATTTGGGAAGAAAACAGATGCTTTCCCTGACGCTTGCCACTCTCAAGTCACTGAATTCTGGACCCCTCCACGCAAACTCAGATGTGGAGGTCCAGCTGTTTTCCAGATATATTCCTTCAACGAGTATTTGTTGAACACGTACTTTGCGCCAGGCAGTGTTCGAGATCAGCACTGTTCAGGAGAAACAGGACATGAGCCACATGTAATTTCAAGTTTTCCATTAGCCACATTAAAAAGTAAAAGGAAACAGGTGAAATTAATTTTAATATATTTTCTTTAACCCAATCTATCCAAAATATAATTTCAATATATTATTTGAAAATATTAAGGAGATATTTTACATTCTTTGTTTGGTACTAAGTCTTTGGAATCTGGTATATATTTTACCCTTGGAGCACATCTCAGTTTGGGCCAGCCATGTTTCTAAGACTCAGTCACCACACGTAGTTAGTGGCTGCTGTATTGAACAGAGCAGATCCAGATGTTGGGCTACAGTGGTGAGCAAAACCTGACTTCATGGCGCTTACATTCTGGTGGGGAGGGCCAACAGTACATGTAGAATGTACTGCCAGGAAGCCGTAAGAGTAAGGGGAGAATGACATCCTTGAGGGATGACACTGGAACAGAATGTAACCATGAAGTTGTCTCCAGGAAGAGCATTCCAGGTGGAGGGAATGGCAAGTGCAAAGGCCCTGAGGCAGGAATAAGCCAGAGGTGTTGGAGGCCAGTGTGGCCCAAGTGGAGCAAGGGATGGAGGAGGAGGCATGTCAGCAGCACCTCAAACACAACCTCAATTTCCTTAGTTCTCTTTTCAGTTGCTGATGTCCCCATCCACACAGGTCACCTCTACCCACTGTTGCTGTAGCCTGTCCTCTGCCTGCCTTCCACACTCCTCAATCACCTGTCCTCCCATTTCACCACCTAAGTATTTCCTCCCTGTCTCCTCTCTTCTTCAGCCCTCAGAGGCTGCACAGGGTCAGCCCCGTCACCAATGGCCTGGAGAACTCCCACAGCCTCTGCTCTGCACCCCTGCCTCCACACTCCTCATCCTGGATTACTGATCACCTCACTCACTGGCTTAAAGTCCTTCACTCCCATTGCCCTCAGGATCAAGTCCAGCTCCTGAACAGGCGTGACCTGAGCCTGTTCCGGCCGCCACATCCTCACCTCTTCCACCAATCCAACCAAAAACTGAAATGGTTGAGACACAGAGATGGTGGCGATTTCCAATCATGAGAAGCTATTTATCACCTCTGCATCCCACCTGGCTGACTTTCCCTTAGAGATGAAGCTGGGGGGAGGCACCTCTTCCAGGGCGGCTTCCAAGCTCTACCTGAGCCTGGTTCGATGCCTCTGCCCTGCGCTCCCGGAGGCCTGAGCAAGACCCGGTCACCGCCCTCCCCAGGCTGTATCTGCCACCATCCTTGGTGAAGGCGGGGCCTGGTGCAGTGCCAAGCACATGCCAGCCCTTGGTGACCAGACGCCACAGCAGTGGTTCCCAACGAGGGGGCAGTTTTGCTCCCCAGGGGATGTTTGGCAATATCTGCAGACATATTTGGTTGTCACAGCCGGGGAGAAGATGCCACCGGCATCTAGTGGATAGAGGCCAGGGATGCTGCTAAATATCTTACAATGCACAGGATGGCCCCTCACAGCAAAGAATTCCCGAGCCCAAAATGTCACCTGGGCAGTGGTTGAGAAACTCTGCTCTGCAGCAACGTGCTGTGAGCCCCTGAGGGCAGCCCTAAGCCGCAGAGGGTCCCAGCAACAAAGGGACTACCCCAAGGGGCACTTTGTAAATGTGGGGGCCGCTGCTTTAGCTGTCACAACGAGGGGGACCCTGCTGGTGTTTGGTGGGCCAGGGCTAGGAATGCCAAGATGTCCTCCCATAGTAAAGAATTGTCACGCATGACTTTAGAATGTCCCACTGGACATTTACATAGTGAGAAAGCTCTTAATAATTACCTGAGCCCAAAACCTGACTGTTTTACATGTAAAACATTAAGGGTTTAGTTTGGGGAATTTTTTTTTGAATGTTTTTATTATGCATTCTAAGTTTTTATTTCAACAGCCACTCATACTCTTTAAACTTTCCTGGGTTTCTTGTACAGAATAGTTTCTGACCTTCTTACTTCTTTTAAAACCAAATGTATTCATTAAACATAAAAGCGAGCAGGACTGTCACATCTGCCATGTGGTTGTGCTCAAGTATGAGCACACGGAAACTCACAGTACTTTCCCTTCATTTCTCCTTTACAGTACAGCTGATTTTCTTTTTTGAAGATTGGCACCTGAGCTAACATCTGTTGCCAATCCTTTTTTTTTTTTTCTTTTTTTTTTGGTTCTTCTCCCCAAAGGCCGCCAGTACATAGTTATATATTATAGTTGTGGTCCTTCTGGTTGTGGCATGTGGGACGCCCCCTCAGCATGGCCTGATGAGTGCTGCCACGTCCGCGCCCAGGATCCGAACTGGTGAAACCCTGGGCCACTGAAGCAGAGCGCGCGAACATAACTACTGGGCACCGGGCGGCCCCACAGCTGATTTTTGTTAAGCACGTGTGCAGGTATAACTTTCACTTCAAATTCTTAGAGAAAGTCTTAGAAAATAGTTACCAGAAGCAGAGAGCCCCTGCTCCGCGCTCCCTCCAGCGCCAGTCCCGCCGACGGTGAGATAAGTGAGGCGCTGCCGCCACCTGGTGGCTGAAGTAGAAATGGCAGGCGGACTCCAGTGGAAGGAACTCTTCCTGGCCAAGAATCTCTGCTCGCCCAGGCGTCCCGCTAACACTCCCCAAACACAGCTTCCCCTGCCACCACCGCGCACCGGATCCCTGCCCCAGACCTCGGTGCTTGATGCTTCTTCAGGGGCTTCAGGGATACAGGAAAGAAGCTGAGAAGCTGAGAAAGTGGGAGCCCTGAGCACTAGTCGCTGATCTGCCACTAACTGGCTGTGTGACCCTGGGCAAGGGCACTGCCCTCTCTGGGCCTTGATGTGTACTGTGATGGATGGGAAAAAAGTACCCTAGAGGCCTGCCATACTTGATGCTCTCAACCAGGAGCATCCAGGTTCTCCTGCAGCCTCCTGCCCACAGAATGACCGGAGGGGTGGGCAGGACAGTCCTTCTCCAGGGCAGAGAGATGAATGGCTCCTAAGCTTCCATCCCAATCCTGAGTTCTTGTAAGGTTGCGATGAGCCCCTGACCCGGATCTCCATGCCAACTGCCACTCCTCCCTTGAGGTCACTCCAAAAATAGAACTGCTCTGCCACTGAGTGACCCCAGACGCAAACTCTGACTTCCCAGTGGTTACGGTCTCCCTGCGAGCAGAGGCTGGCTTCCTCCCTCAGAATGGGGACTCCCTGAAGGCCGGGCAGTCTCTCGCCTCCCCTCTCCCCACTGGGGCTCCCTGACACGGGCTGTGTCCGACCCCAGACCGAGGCCTTCCCAAGGGCAGCCCTGTCTCCTTCTACAGGGTCGCCAAAGACCTCAGGACAAGGTCCCAAAGGCAGCGTGGCCCCCAGTGCTCACACCTGACCCCCCAGGCCCAGCCCCAGGCCCAGAGAAGGCGGCGAGGCAGCGAGGGTCCGAGGCATGTGTAGAATAAATATAACTTTATTCTTTATCCAGTAGATCTCAGTGGAAAGTCCAACAGTAACAGGTGCACCAGCGGGCTCTTGGGGATGAGACCTCAACCCCGGGGCAAGAGGGCAGGGCAGAGCCAGCTCCCCCAGCCCAGGGGTGCAGGGGGTGAAAGGAGGGGACCCCCTGTGGCCCGTCCTGCGGGGCAAGGAGGGGGCATTGGTGTGGGGTGGGGGGCAGGGGGCAGGCCAGGGAGATGGAGGAAGTCAGGCCAAGTGTGTCTGTCGGCTCATCTGTCCGTTGTGTGTGTGTGTGTGTGTGTGTGTGTGTGTGTCTGGGGACCCTGTGGGTGGTGCTGGTGGCTGTGAGGCTGGGGGGCCGGCGCCTTCACAGTGGGGGCTGGAGGGCTCGGATGACATGAGCCCTGACAGGGAGGCAGCTCTGCCAAGGACACGGGGCTGAGAAACACACACGGGGATGTTCTGAGCGCCCCGTGCTCTGCTCCTGCCCGTCCCTCGTGGTGAGCCCCTCCTCTGGGGGCTGCTCCGAACTTTCCACACCCAGTGGTTAGGCAGAATGAGAAGAGGAGGGCAGGCCTCAGAAAGTCAGTACTTCACAGTTTTAAAGAGAAAACTGAGGAGAAAAGGCTGGGGAGGAGGGCTAGGGGGGTGCAGGGACATGGAGAGAGAGTAGGAGCCCCTTCTGAGCCGCTCCCCTCCCCCAGGACCCACCCCACTCCAGCTCTGGATCCAGCTTCCCCCCCAATACACAGCACAGATTCCTTCAGTATAAATGTGCTTAAAATGAAAATTCTTATTAAAAAATCAAAACCAAAAAAAAAATTAAAATAAAAACAAAACCAGCGAGAATTAATACCTGGGGGTTGGTATGGCAGGGTATGTACAGGGGGAACCCCCCACCCCTGGCCCACCCCCTCTGTCACCAACCGAGGCAGGGGGGTTCCCCAACCGGGGGGCAATGGCTTGCGAGTTCTGAGGATGGGGAGCCAGGTCCTGGCATTTGCTGGTGATGAAGATGTGGCGAGGCGGGCAGAGGGGGGTCTTGATGAACACGAGGCCCCCAGCCCCATCCTGAGGCCCAGGACCAGGGGTCCTCGCTCAGTTCATGGCCTTGCCCCTGATGACAGCCCAGGCTGCGGGAGCAGGCAGTCCATCACGGCCCAGGCCTCTGTCCCAAGAGTCGCCGCCTCCTCCCTCCCATCCCCCGAAGAAGGGAGGACGGGTGGGGGGCAGGGCTGGCGGGGGTCACATGGTTGGTAGAAAGGCAGAGAAGCCAGGGCATGGGGCGAGGGCTGTGTCCACGGGGCGCAGGCGTCACGGGGAGTGGGTGGCGGGGCTGCTTCTGTTTGAGCTGGGGCTGAGGCTGGGGCTACAGCTGCCGGGTGGGGGGACCAGGCCGCCCCCATCCCGCCCCCCGCCCCCTGGCTGTCCGCTCAGAGTGTCCAGGCCCTCTGAGTTCTCCAGCATTTCCTGGATGAGAGGTGGCATGGAGCCCGGGATCTCCATCTTCAGCGTGATCACCCGCTCGGCCCCTGCAGGAAAGGAGAGGCAGAGGTCAGCACGCCAGCCAGCCCATTCCCCTAGCAAGCAGGGCCCCAGGAAGGAGGGCTGCAGGGTACGGGGATCAATACTGCCCTTATCAGCATCGCCTGTGCACTGAACTCGGGCCTCGGTTGGACATAAGCCAGCCCTCATAAGTCCCCAAGTCTGAGGAGCAGCGGGGCAAAGTGGTTCCGAACTCAGGCTGTGGGGTCAGACGGCCTGGGCTTGACTCTGGGTCCTTCCCATGTGCTGTGTGCTAAGGATTCTCCTGACATCTCAAAACAGCTCTGTAAACACCGTCATTATCCCCACTCTTCAGATGGGAAACTGAGACTCAGAGCTATTAAGCGACCTGCTCAAGGACACACACCCGCACGGTCTGGTTCCAGAGCCATTCTCTGAACCACCATGCAAAGGTGACACTGCCACCTCAGAGCTCACAGGCAGGTCACCTGGGCACGGTGGGGTCCAGATGAGTGGGGCATCATCCTGGGTACAAAGATGTAGGGTTTGGCTCGGATATGGAGAGCCTGACCCTGGGCACGGACAGTGGGTCCTGGGTCAGGTCTTGGGGCCCGACCCAGGCAGACCCACAGGGCACAAATCCAGGTGTGGGAGCCTCACCCTTAGCACTGATGCTTCGCAGGTCTGTGATCTTCATCAGCATCTTGGGGAACATGTGGGGGCGGCTGGGCCTCCGTTTCCGCACATAGACCTTCAGCGCCTCGAGCAGCGGCTCCTGCAGCATGTCCACCCTGTCTGGCTGCTCCAGGTCCTGCCGGTCTGAGGAAGCAGAGATGCCCCCTGAGCAGCTGCCCTGGCCAAGCGAGGAACACAGCCGCGCTCCCAGCCTTGGCCACTGGGGGGCGTGCCTGCCCAGGAGAAGCCTGAGCTTCTCTGCTCCTGGGGCCTCCCCACACCGGGTACTGGAGGGGTCTGTCTGCTGCGAGAAAGCCCTAAGAGGCTCTTAAATGCCAGCAAAGGGGAGCTGGGGATGGGGGTTGCCCAAAGGCTGCCCTGACAGCCCAGTTCATGGGGCTGGGACCCCTGAACACAGGCAGTGCTGTCCGTAGGCAGACGAAGGATGGCCCAGCAGGTCTCCCAATCCCACCCACTATTCTGCACGCCAGCACCACATGGCAGAAAACATAACAATAAAATAGTAACAGCCAAGATTTACTAGGTCTTACACTGGGCACACTGGGCCCTATTTATTAATTACCACCTTAATCCTCCCATCAACTTCATAAGGTGGCGACTATTATTGCCCCGATTTTACAGAAACGGGGCCTCAGAGAAGTTCAGCAACCTGCTCAAGGTCCCAAGCTGGCCAAGATTTGGACCTGGGTGGTCTGACCTTCAGGCGCTCACTCTTAAGGCCCCTAGGAAGGAGCACTGCCTAGAAATAGGGAACCAGATGTCAGGTCTCCACCGCCACTCCCTTGCTGTGTGGCCACAGATCAGACTTTGCCCCTCTGGGACTCAGGTTCCCCCTGAGAGGAGCCTGACAGGGGCCAAGGTCCCTTTCTGATCTGATGACCCCTGAGCTTCTCCCTAGGAGGGGCTCCAAGGGCTGCACCACCAGCCCAGACCCTTGCCCACCTCCACAGATGAGGCAGATGGCGCTGAGCAGCCCGGTCTCAGCATCATCCATCTCCAGGGGCAGAAGCTGGTTGGCGAAGGCAAAGACCAGGTCCGTGAGGGGGCCGAAGCCAGCGTTGTGCATCTGGGTCCGGTTGAGGGTCAGCCCGTCTGAGAAGGTCATTGTGTCCTGCTCGGGCGTGTACCGCGTGCAGATCCGCAAGATCTGGGAGCAGAGGATGCTCAAGTTCAGGGACTCGGCCCATCCCTCTAGCACTTTCAGCACAGCATCCACACAGGACCACCTGGCAGGCAGCCAGACCTGTGCCATCAGACAGAAGCTTCTTCAATGATGGAAACATTCTCCACCAGCACCATCCAATACAACAGCCACCAGCCAGCCACACCGTGGCCACTGGGCACTTGAAATGTGGCTGGTGCAACTGAGGAACTGAGTTTGTTTAATTTTAATAAATTTAAATAGCCACGCATTGTGAATGGCTACTGTAGTGGACAGTGCAGAGCTGGAGCATCCTGCCTCCACGCAGAGAATTTCTAAGGGAAACTAGAATTGCCAGGGGCAAGGACCACAGTGGATTTATGTCTACAGTTCCCAGGACTATTGCACAGAGCTTAACAAACGTCTATCATCTCCAACTGGGTCAAACCCTGATCCTGCCTCCTGCATCCAGGGCACAGGAGGGGAAGGCTGCCCAGAGACGGCACACTCTGCACCTCCCACTGCGCCCCACCCCTACGAGGAAGCAGCAGCCTGGTCACTCCCAGGTTCCCCACCCTGGAGGTGGCCAAGAGGGAAGAGATGGGCTGAACCCATCAGGTATGACAGGGAGAAGGGTCCTCCTTCCAGCCTTGGCTTTGCAAGTTCCACTGCCCCCCATCCCGCCTCCAGCCCAGCCCACCCTCGGCTCCACCAAATGTCCTGCAGTCCTCTGAACCCAGCTAGTCCCACACCAGCAGGCCTTTCAGATCCTGGTCCTAAGTTAGGGACGCCCTCTCATGTGCTCCTTCTACACGATGGCCCCTAGATGCTAGCTCCTCCAGGACTTTGTCCCTGGGGCCCAGCATTTGTGGCTCTCTCTTCTACAAGGAGGAAACAGCCCTCCCCCATCTCCATCCAGCACTTAGCTCAGTTTTGCAACCTCTGTTTACATATCTGTTACCTCCACCAACAGAAGGTTTTCGAGAGAGGGGATGGTGTCGTGTTCATCCCTGTTCCTGACACCCAGCTCAAGGCCTGGCCACGCAGGGTCCCAGGTGAATCTTTATTACAGACATAGATGGCAAAATGGGTGGTTTGGATGGAAGGCTCAATGGAAAGATGGGGTGAGGTGGATGGCTGCATGTACGGTGAATGGGTGAACCAGTGCCCATCCGAGTGCTAAGTGGCTGAGTGGACAGGTGGACACACAGGGGAGAGGAAGGGTGGATTTTTGGGTGGGTGGGCATTTTGGCAGATCGATTCCAGATGGATGTTTAGGAAGGTGGTGATCTGAGTGGCCGGACATCCTCCAAGGACAGGGGGGCAGTGCCCAGTGGGCAGGGTGCAGACCCTCACCAGGATGTCCAGGCAGGCAGCCTTGAGGAGGGTGATCTGGTCAGCAATGGTGAGGGTGGTGAAGCCGGGCAGTTGCTTGGCGAACTCCACAGTCTTAATGATGCACTTGGTGGAGAGTTCACTGAACTTGTCCCAGAGGTCAATGTCCAGAGAGACACGTTGTTCTGAGCTGTTGTTCTGGGAGGATGGCGGAGAGTGAGGGCCTTCTCCTCAGGGCACCCATTCTCGGCCTGCCTCCACCGCCCCCACAGGCCTGCCTCACTTCCCGAGAGCTCCTTGAGAGAAGGCAGCAGGAGGAAGGCGAAGTGGGAGAAGAGAGGGACGTGGAGGCGGAGGCAGGGCTGAGGAGGCGCAAGCCCGGCAGGAGAAGGGGTGCCCCGCCCCGCCAGGACGGGGGAAGCCGTACCGTAGTGTATTTGCCCAGCTGGCAGAGGGCAGGAAAGGTTTCCTGGTGCGCTTTGCGCACCTTCTCGATGAGCTCCCCCACCTCCGGCGTCAGCGTGTAGCTCTCTGAGCACTCGGGCTTGGGTGCCTCCTTCTTCTTCTTGTTCCGGTCATTCCTCACGGCTGTGGAGGGCACAGACCTGGCCATTAGCAGGCATCAGTCCATCCCCACGCGAGCTCCTCCCACCAGACAGAGAGCCGCTGGCTGCGGAGGTCACCCAGCGGGGGCACACACACACGGGAACACCAGGCAAATGTGCACACACACAAAAGCACACACATATGAGTGCACAGGCAGGCAAGGTGTCAACACACCGTCCACCCCTCCACGCCCACCTGACCCACACGCCAAGTCCTGCCCAGGGCCCCACAACCACAGCACATGGGTCCCTCAGCCAGCCCACCGTGCCCCGCGCTCCCACACATTGACTCCAGCCCACACTCCAGGTGTGCAGGTGTCCCGGGCCAGAAGCAAGTGTGCAGTGTTCCATCTGCGTGCTCTGCCTCCCCCGCCCCCGACTCCCTCTGCTTCCAGGAAGGACCAACTCCTGCCTCCACTGGCCCCCAGCCCTCCTGGCAGCCCGTCCCTGGGAGGAGCCCCAAGCAGCTCCTCCAGCAGGCAGGCAAGGAGGAGGGCTCCCCAGCCTGAGAGTGGGGGCCAGGCGGGAGAATCTCTCGGCCCATTAGCCTGGGGAGCTGACAAATCACCAGGGGCGCTGAGCCGCACACACCACTCGGCTTTAAAGAAGCGATGGGGTCGTTACCAGCCGATTATCCCAGACACACAATCACTCACAGGGCCAGTGGTGGCGGCTGCTGACGCTGGAGGAAGAGAGGGTGGGGGTGGGGGCCCGGGGAGGGGGCAGCAGGTTGGGGGGAGCTGGCATAATTTGGAGATCACTCATGTCGATTCTGCAAATTCAATAAAGTGCAAGGGAGAGAAGAGAGAGGGAGAGGGAGAGTGGGGGGATAATTTGGGAAGAGAAAATTGCAGCTGTGACAAGACGTTTATCATTCGGAAGCTTTAATTCTATTGAAATGGCAGCTGCTCAGCTCGGGGGCACAGAGCAGCCGGAGAGGAGGAGGGAGGGAAAGGGGGAGCAGGCGGTGGGAGGGAGAGGGGGTCCCCATCCTGGTCCTTCTGCACTAGAAAGCTCTGGGAGTGGAAGGTAGCAGAAGCAGAGGGAGGAGGAGGTGCTGGGGCCCCAAGGGAAGGGTCCAGGACTGCGGGTCCCAAGCTGTCACCTGCTCTGCAGCATGGAGCCACCACTTCCTGGGCTCTAGACATTGCAGCCCGTGTCTCCTGTGGCAGGAGGTGGCAGGGTGCTGCAGGGCCCCTCCACTCCTGTCTGGGGCTCCTCGCATGCCCCCTACATCCCGTCTCCACTTCCCTCTTCCAATGCCCTCCCCACAAAGAGCTAGGGGTCCTGCAGCGCCCTCCCCTACCCCATCCCCCAAGGCTCATGCTCCATGGCAACGGCCACGCAGACAAGGAGGCGTCTGTCAGCGTCATTTATCTCTGACATCATCAATCACCGGTCACCACGGCAACACCCATGATTCAACATAAGAGGGTCTCCCTGTCCAGCCGTCCCTCCCTCCCTCCAGTGGGCCTCAGCTGAGCCCAAACTGGAAACCCCGTTCCTCTGGGATCTGAGAAGTCCCAATTCTCTCTTCCAACTCCACGTCCCAGGCTTCACCAGACAATGGCTTTTAGATCCCCGTGCCAGCCGCAACACCACACAGACACTAACACCAACCAGCACCCCTCAGCACAGGCCCTTCCCGAAGATGCACAATCCAGAGGGACTCAGGTATGCCTCTGAGCCCAGCCACAAAGCCAAGCAGGGCCTGGAAGCCAGCTGGCCAGGAGCAGACACACACACAGACATGTGCGAGCACACACAGCCAGCCCTGCACCAACAGGCACAGCTGTCCATACACGGACACACAGCTGGCTAGATGCAGACAGACAGACAGTCCCTTGAGCCCACACACCACCCCAAGGGCATGCAAGTGCACAGCCCTACACACTCACACCCCTGCTCCCCGGCCTTCCTGCCCCACAAGGCCGGCCCCTGGCCCGTGGCACTCACACTCCCTGGACATGCCCACTTCGAGGCACTTCTGCAGCCGGCAGTACTGGCAGCGGTTCCGGGTCACCTTGTTGATGATGCAGCTCTTGTCCCGGTGACACGTGTACACCATGTTCTTCTGGATGCTGCGGCGGAAGAAGCCCTGGGTATGGAGGGAAGGGGTCAGGTCAGCCACACCCACCGCGGGAGCAGTGCGGCCTAAGGCCCCCGCCCAGAGCAGGTGGCCAAGCCAACTGCTGCCCCCAAGCCTGTGGCCATCACCTACCTGACCAAGCCAGGTAAGGTGGGGAGAATGGTCCACCTACAAGAATACCCCCAAGAGAATCCCAGCACCTGCCTCTACACTGCAGGTGGGCAGGGGTCTTCCCCCAACCTACACCCACACACCCGGCGCTTCCTCCCTCCTGGGGAAAAGGACCTCAGGGCTGCGAGTGAGGCAGGAAAAGGGGGAGATGGGGCCAGACAGGAGAGGGCAGGGCTCCAGAACCCACGGCCCTGGGCTCAGAGTGCAGGAAGAGAAGGCAAGCACAAAGAGGCCACAGAGGGACACAGGCTGGCCAGAGAGATGGAGACGAACACACACTCAGAAGCAAGGCAGCAGACACACGTTCAGCAACCAGGCAGATGTGCATGCACTGATCACAGGAAGACCCAGGCGGGTCAGGGGCTGTACACTCGGGCGAACCAGAGAGGCAGACAGACAGACCAGGGACAAACTGGAACAACCAGACAGGACGGGCAGACATACACAGTCTGAGGACTTGCACTTTGCCCTTGATCTGTGCCCTTTGTCCCACACCTGAGGATAGCCATTCCACACCAAGGGGCAGCCCAGTGCCCTAAGCCCCAAAGCTGTGTAGCTTCTGAGCCCCAATCTCTAGGGAAGAAACAGGCACAGAGGTTCTGGCTCTGCAGAGACGAGGAAGAGAGGCCAGGCCCACTGCTGGGAGGGCAGCAGCCACATCTGCGCCCTGGAGCCTAACATGCACACAGGGAAATGCAGCCAGCCAGCGAGCAGCCCGCAGCCTGGGCACCTGAGGGAGAAGCCAAGACAGGGCGCCCACTCCAGACTGCCGCCTGCCAGGCTGCCGCGGCGAGGTTCAGGCCAGGCCGCCGGGGACAGGCCTCCTGGGTCCCCAGCCAAGAGCCAGTCGGCAGCCAGCTCACCATGGCAACCTGGGCAGCGGCAGCAGAGTGGGTGTATGCCCTGCCAGCTGGAGGATGAAGACAGGGCAAGGAGCTCAGGCAGGAGAGGGACCTCTGGTTTGGGGGAGCCCTGTTCATTTCTGGGGGAGTACGATTGCAGGCCTCTTCTCCTCCAAGGCTGCTGCCACCTTCTGCATAGAAGCAAGATCAGCAGCTTAGGGACATCCCTGCCCCCAACAGCATACTCCCAGGGCACTGGCAGTGGGGACATCCCATTTATCTAATCAGGATTGTCCTTCCCAATGACCCTCTCAACTCACCTTGCAGCCCTCACAGGCGCTGACCCCATAGTGGTAGCCTGAGGATTTGTCTTGACAGACAAAGCAAGGCTTATAGATGCGGGGGAGAGGGGGTGGCGAGGGAGGGCTGGGCACTATCTCTTCTGAACTGCTGCTCTGGGTCTCGATGGCTAGAGAGAGAAGACGGAGGGGAGGTTAGAGACCGGGGTCGCCATCCTTAATTCCATGCCCACCCTGCCTCATCTCTCCCAGGAGCCTTGCCCAGCCTCATCACTGATGCCAGGATTCAAACTCTGGGGTAGGGACACAGTCTCAAGAAAGCTGGTACTTCCCAGCCAAACTTGGGGAATGAGGCTGCCAATGAAGCCGCAAGCACCCCATCACTCGTGCCGACTTTCCCAGGATCCCCCCTTCAAAACGAGAAAGATCAGATGATAAACCATGAGATTTGTATGTGGACATGGTGACATTTGGCGGGTGAGGGTGGGGGTCAGCCCTGTTCTAAAGCCCTGGGCCCTGGGTGGCCTGGCACGATGTCTCCATGTTAGGAAGGAGTTAAGCCCTGATGAGGAGGGAGGGAAGAGGACACAAGCTGGGGGCAGAGGAAACTGGGGTCAACAGGATATTCAAAGCCGGCCACTCCCCCACCCCCTCTGCTTCCGCTCCCCCCCTCCACCCGCTCCCCTCTCCACCGCCTCTGCCAGAAGCCACAGCCCCTCCTCCACCCAAACAATCCCCTGGCCAAGGACCCAAGGCAGGGTCCGCAGAGTCTCGCAAACGTTGGGGCCAAGAGACAGGGACTCCCTGAGATAAGCAGGGGGACTCCCTAGAGACAGGGAAGAGTCCCTATGGGCGCCGGAAGCCCACTGCTCTGGGTGCCCCGTCTAGGGGGAAGCAGCATGACAAAGGGGGTCTGTTCCCATCAATGCTCTGTCTGTCTGGCCTCAATACTATGTCCGGGTTACTACCCCCCTCCCCTCCTGTTATTCAGCTCCAAGAGGGCAGCCAGGAGGGGTGACCCAGCCAGCAGAAGCAGCCCCCACTAGCCAAATCCTCCCCAGTGTCTGGCCTCATGCCCATCACGCCAGGCAGAACACAGCAGGGCTGGATGGGGGCTGTCTGTGCCCAAAACCTGGGCAGCTGGGGGTATACCATGCTGGATGAGAACTATGACCGAGGCAACCCCAGATTCCCAAGGGGCCACCCAGCATCCTCCTGAGACCCTAGCCAGGTCTACCTATCCAGGTCCAAGGAGGGGCAAGGACACCTCCCTAAATAGGTAGAGCCCTATCTCTTCCCACACCTCAAAATCCTACCTAGTCTCACCCTAAACTCTGGCATACAAGGTTCGGAAATTCAAAGCGGCCCAGAGCTCCTGGCCCAAGCACTTACAGCCGTGAGTCACATGGCCCCAAATCCAGGCAGAGAGAAAAGAAGTGCATAGATGCTGGGGGCTGGCTGCATGTTACCACCCTCCCCCCTTACATGCAGACACACCAGGACTGCCAGGCAGGCGGTTGATGACCGGGAACCTGGCCAACGACCTTGGCAAGGCCCTCCTGGCTCTTAGTAGGGCCTGGGCACCAGTTCCCCAGTCAGCCTGGCTAACCAGCACTGCTGTGGTCCCATGTCCCCATCCCTGCCCAGAGGCCAGCCTGCAGCAAAGGAATAGTGGATGCCCACATCCTCACCAGTGCACAGGCTCTTCACTGACCTAGCCCAACGTTCAGCTCCTCACTCAACACCAAACTGCCCTGGCCTGGTTTTCCCCCACCTCACTCTCCCCAGGCCAGACAAGCAAATCAGACAGGCGAGAGGCCTGAGAACAGCTGCTGGGGGGCGGGGTGGGGGGCCTGGGTGAGGCCAGGAGGCAGAGGGGTGAGCGACAAAGGAACCCTTTGTTGTGCTAACTTTTTCCAAGACGTAAAAGGAGTAACAATAGACAATCCAGACTGGGGGGTGGGGGGGGGGGATCAAGGACAAGGGTGTAGGGGGACTGTGGCCTAGAATCCCAGTCAGCGTTCCAACAGGCAGAGGATGAAGGCCCTGACCTCCCCTCCCATTCCACCCTTTGCCCAGGGCTGGCCTCCTCCAAAGCCCCACCTCTAAAATGGACCAGATAGGAAGAGGAGAAAGGACAGAGGGAACTTTGGGGTACAGAGTGGGGTGGAGGGAGGGGAGGGGTGCATGGGGAGACACACAGGATACTGGGATGAGGGACAGACAGCTTTAAGGTCAGGAACTGACTGGAGGGGCAAAGGCCCATAGAAATTCAGAGCTAAGGCAAAGTCCAGAGGGCGTTTATGGAGCTGAAAGAACATGCTTTTTAAAATTGTTTTTTGGCAGGATGGGGGAGATGACCCAAGGTGGGGGCTACAGTTTGGGCTGGGTGAGGCTTCCTTTTGGCCCACTCCAAGCAGCTGGCTGCCTTTGAGACTGTAACACCCTCTGCACACCACCCCCCCACCAGCACGTCCCCACCTGTCACCCAGGTAACAGCTTTGAGGTTTCCCACTGTGCCCTTTGAACCTAGAGCCCTGGCCCAGTCCTCACCGTCCCAGGCCTCCAGCCAGCAAAGCCTGGGGCACTCTGGCACCCTCACAGCCTCACCAAGAGTTAATACACAGCTTTAACTCTGCACACCCCACCTAGTGGGGAAGGACTGCCACGGCCTGGCCCCTCCCCACTCAACTCCCTCCCCAGAGGCTCAGCCCACAAATCTCTCTTCTTCCTGCAGAAGGACGAAGCTGGAGAAGCACCACACCTTCTCAGCTCAAAGGTCCAGGGCCCAGCGGAGGGCTGGAACCGGCTCAGGAAGCCAGGCGTCCCCTCTGCCAGGGTCCCCTCCCCCGCCCCCCTCAGGGCGGGCAGGAGGCGCAGAGCCTCCGGATTCCCCACACCCCAGAGCCGTTCGCAGGCTCGCACAAGGGGCCGGTTTCCTGGAGGAGATCAGCAGGAAATCAGCCGGGCCCCCGGCCAGCAGCTCCCCTCCCAATCCAGCTGGCGCCCGCTCCTCCGCAGCTCCCCTCGCAGCCCCTAGGGAGGGTTGGGGAGGGGGCGCAGGGCCCTCGGGGCCGCCCTTCCTCCTCGCCAGGGGAGGGTGGGGGTGGCGCTGGGGGTAGTACGGGCAAGAAGGTCCCTGGCCCAGCGGCCGCCGATAAGCATCTCTCCCCCTCCCCCCACTCCGGGCATCCACGTGCTTCACATTCTTGGACGTCTGGGAGCGGGTGGAGGCGTGAGAGGCGAGATTGGTGGGGGACAGACGGGGAACCACATCCTGTGTACCCCTTGTCCTCTAGTGCCCTGAAGCAGGGCTCGGGGAGGGAGAGGCAAGGTCCCCACGGCCCTGCAGGATCCAGGTCTCCTCCCCCAGGCAACCTGCTGTCTCTTCCCACCTTTGGTGGAGGTGGCAGGAGAAAGTGAGAACTCGGTGGTTGAGAGTGCTGGAGGGCTCCTGTCACCAGACAACCTCCACACACACCAAGGGGTTCCTTCCAACGCAGTGGTAGACAGGGTCAAGTCACCACCCCTGGCCTCCAGGTCCTTCCTGTGCCTCAGAACAACCTCCACACCCACCATTCCCAGCCCACAGCCTTGGGGGTGAGCCCACTGGCACCCCACTGGCATATGCACATCTACATGCAGACTACAGGAACTGGGAAGCCCAGGCCTCTCACTCTCCTCCAACCCAGACAGGCCGTAGGGAACAAGGCTCCACTTCCCCATTGCCTGTGGGCTCCACTCTGCTTCTCCAGCTCCAGTTTGGGGCCAGGAAGAGCTGAGCTGCCCTGACCAGCAAAGGAAGAGTCAGGGCTAGAGCCCAAGGTCTCAGATCCCAGCTTCCTCCCAGTCCTCTGGCAAAGGTGGCCAAGGTGGTGGAGGGGGTGACCCTGGCAGCTGTGCCCCAATTATCCCACTTTGGGGGGACACCTTCCTCCAGCTCTGGGAGGATAGAAGAATGGTGCTGGTGTCACACCTCTCACCTCTCCCTTTTTGCCAAAGTCAACCGATGCTCACACCCCGTCTCACCCCATCTCCCAACATCTCCCACCGTCTGCAGCCCACAGCCTCCCAGCCGATCTGCCCCAGAGGCAAAGGTCGGAGGCTGGACAATAGGAAAGGCTGGGGGTGAGGTGGCTCTGAGAGGGGCAGAGGTGGGGTGTCTCTCCACCTCAGGTCTGTCTTCCTAGAGTAAAGGGGGTGGGAGTTGCCCTTCAACCTTCTCCAATCTTCCTTGCCCCCAGAGACCCACTCCACTCCTGCTCCCTGGCAGGCCGGGGGGCGAGGCAGCCAGTCAGGGAGGGTGGCAGAAGCTCCAGAGAGGAGCTGAGAAGGTAGAGGAAGAAACTCGAGCCGGTAACAATAACCCCCTAGGGCAGCTCTCTCGAACTCAGGTACACCACCTCCCAGCTGGAATGAACACGTCCAGGTGTGCACCCCAGGCACTCACCGCTGGTGCCCAGAGCCCCTCTTGCAGAGGAGCCGGAACCCAGAGAGGGGACAGCGAGGAACGAAGGTGAGCAGGCTGCCAGAACCCCAGGGTTCTCATCAGCGCCCCTCTTAGAAAGGGATAGCCCAGTGCCTGCCCCATCCCCAAGTGAAAACAAGGTAACAAAAGGACGTGGCTTGGTTGGGAGGGGATGCATGCTCATTTCCAGAGTAGCCTCAGACCCACAAAAAAGAAACTCATGCCCCAGAGAACAAACCAGATTAGGATTAGGGGGAGTGGGATTTCTCCCACCAGAACAGCTTCTACCCTCCATTCCCAGGGCAGAAGCCTCAAAAATGCCAGCCAGTGTCTAGGGCCAGGACAACCCTCAGATGGACGTGCCCCTCCCCAAGATGAAAGGGTTGGTTAGGATGGCAGACGGGTGTCTGATGAAGTTGCCCCTTCCTGCCACACCCCACTGCCAACACCAAAGACACGGAGCGCTCCCCTGACACCGACTCTAATAACACAAGGGGAAGGGCTGGGGGCAGCAGCTGTCGCACAGGAGGAGGTCTCCCCCAGGCTTTGGCAGGGGTGGGGTCAGGGGAAGAGGCCCCTCCTCCTCGGGCAGACAAGCCCACAGATAGGACCTTTACCCTACCCTCCAGGGTGGCAGAAAGGACCCCTCTCCTGTGAAACTACAGGATACCAAGCACGAAGATATAAACTGGAGGCAAAAGGCTTCATTTCCCCTGCAAGCCGTAGAAGGAGAGGAGAACAAATGTTTCCTGAAGGGAGGAACCCCCAAAGTTCCTCAGTCCTAATATAACACAAACAGCGCCCAGGGTTACTCGGGGCAGTCCAATTGTCCAGCAAGGGCACCCGAGTTTCAGCCAGATAGACGAGGGAAAGTGAAGGGTAGAGACAAGACCCCCGCCACGCCCCCAGACCCGCATCCCACGGTAGGAGGGGAAGCCCCACCGCCCACCCCCACCCCCAGCTCCCACAACAGGAGAGGGGAGGC